GCATGCCTCCCCCACAGCCCAGCTGAGCTGCCTGTCTGTTCTGTATGCCCTCCCCCATCCACCTCAGCCCAGCTGAGCCCTGCACTGGTTCCCTGCATGCCTCCCCCACAGCACAGCTGAGCCCAGTTTCCTTGCACTTCCTCCAAGCCCCGCAAAACTGCTGAGCCAAGAGCCGATTCCCTGTCCCTCCCTCCCCTTGAGTCTAGCCCCAGTTCCCGGCACCTCCCTCCTCCTGCAGCCAAACTGAGCTCTGAGCTCCACACACACACACTCCCCAGCCCAGCCCAGCCCAGCCCAGCTCCCCGGACCTCCCCACTCTGCAACTCAGCTGAGCTCAGTTTCCCTGCACCTTCCCCCAAACCATGTAGACATGCTGAGCCAGTGCTGATTCCCTGCCCCTGCCTTCCTCCCTCCCCTTGGCTGTGTCTACACTGGCACTATCTTGGGCCAAAGCGGCCGCTCTTGTGCAAAAATTTGCTGCCTGTCTACACTGGCCGTGTGTTCTTGCGCAAATACACTGTTGGTCTCATGTATGAAATCAGGGCTTCTTGCGCAAGAACTACGATGCTCCCGCTCAGGAATAAGCCCTTTTGTGCAACTATTCTTGTAGAAGAGGCCAGTGTGGAAAGGCAACATGAATTTCTTGCGCAAGAAAGCCCTATGGCTAAAATGGCCATCGGCACTTTCTTGGGCAAGAAAGCTTCCACACTGCCATAGATGCTCTTGTGCAAAAGCACAGCTTGCACATGGCAGTGTGGATGTGTTTTTGCACAAGAACTCTTGCACAAGATGTTCTTGCGCAAGAAACAACCAGTGTAGACAAAGCCTAAGAGTTTCCTCACATGAGCAAAATGAATTTGTGTTGTGCACCAGTATTGAGTTCATGTGGCTTGTTTGGATGTGCCACCCAAGTTATTAATAAATATTTTTAAACCTCTACCTTTTCCCTCTGCTGCCATGTCTCCTCCCCTTGCTCCATCAGCTCCCCTGGTGCCTCCTGCCCCCCCACTCCTCACCCTCCTTTGCTGTCCTGACTCCTGCTCTTCTTACTGTCCTCAGCCCTCCTGCAACCTACCCCCCCTCCACCAGCCCTTCTCTCCTCCCTGTGTCCACTCCTCCAGTAGCCCCACACTGATCATGTGAGCTACCCCTCCTCATCCCCTCTCCTAACACTTCCCTCTCCACACCTGCCCTGCATCTCTCCTCTGATGGTGGTCCCTCCGGAATCCCCTGGCACCTGCACCTTCTCTTACCCCTGCACCCTCCTGGTGCCTCCCCCTTCCCTCACTTCCCCTGCCCCCTTTGCTCCATTTTTCCCTCCCTGGCACCTGCACCTTCCCTTAGCCCTGCACCCTCCTAGTGCCTCCCCTTCCCACACTGTCCGTGCCCCCTTTGCCTTTTTTTTCCCTGGTGCCCTCCCCCTCACCACCCTCTGCCCCCAGTCCCCTCATGCCCCTGTGCCCTCACACATGACTTGCTCCATCCCTGCCATCCTCATGCCCATCCCTTCTTTCAAGCCTTCTCCCAGAACCTCCTCCTCTCCCCTCTAACCCCCAATGCCCTTACTCTCTCCTCTCCCAGCATCACCCTGTCCCCCTCCCACTGACACCCCCCCTCCTGCCTTTTTCCTCATTGTCTGCACTTGGCCCCCTGGCATATGTCTCTTCTCCACCTCTGTCCCTTTGGTGCCTTCCCCTTCCCCTCCGCCTCTGCACAAGCACCTTCCTCTCCCAGCCCTTCCCCTTTCCCTCTGCACAAGCCCCTTCCCTCCCTCTCCTGTACCTTCTGCCTTCCACTGTGCAGGGCCGGAGTCTGTGCTCTGTCCCCAGACTCCGAACTCACAACTCAGCCATGTGGCGCAACACAGCGCCCAGCAGGTTTAAAATCCCGGGCCGTGATGTTACGTCACGTCCGGGTGTCTCCCCACCCACTGGTTTGAGCACGCTGTGCAGGGCAGCAGCAGCCCGCAAGGGGGAGCTCAGTGAAGGTTGCGCATGGCAGGGATGGGACCGGGACAGGGGAGAGACGCTCTGGGGCCAGAGTGGGAGGACACGCGGAGGGGGAGGGTCAGGACCTGCTCCAGCTCCAAATATTGTTGGAGCATGAGCACCACGAGCCCACACAACTCACCGCCCACGCCTCTGCTGGCTAGCCAGCTCTCTCTCTCTTTTTCAGAGGGGGCGGGGGAGCGCCGGCTCCTCGCGGAACCCCTAGGTTTGCTCCGTGGAACCCCAGGGTTCCCCGGAGCACCAATTGGGAAACACTGCCATGGGGGGTTCGATCTCCACAGACACAAGGCAGCCTCTGTGTTTAGGAAGCTCGGACCCCCCCACAGACGGGCTGCTGCCACCCTGCCCTAGTGCCTCTGTATCAAGGCAGCAACATGGGGCAGCAGGCAGCCAGTCCATGCAGGGAGCATGGACCAGCTCTGCCTGCCACCCCACGCTTCTGCTTCTGCTCCAGAGGGGGAGCAGTGCAGGGTAACGGGGCTCCCCGGAAGTGGGGCTGGGAGCGCATTGGCTGCTGGCCCCACCTCCAGGGACTATTGAATAGTCAAGTAACCGCTAAGATGTCATGAGGTTACGTGATTATTCAATTACACGATATCTAACATTCCTATTGGAGCTGGGTTCTTAACTCCCATTTGTGCCTTCTCAACCTCCCATGCCAAGTTCCAAGGCAAACCCTTCGCCCTTGCTGGCTGCCATTAAAGAGAGCTCTCTTGCTGTCCCAAAGTCAGCAGTTTCAGTTTGGTCTTGCTATGGAATTGGAGGAATAGACCTATCTCTGGGGGGCCAAGCCACACGCATTGCTGCAGGGCTGTCTGGCTTTAAAAATCCCAAGTGCTGAGATTTCTGCCCTCCTGAAGGAGATGGTAAATTGTTGGGGAGCATCAGCCCAGCCGTCATGGCTTGCTAGAGCCGTGTCCATGAATCAGGTGCCTGTCCCGACTGAGTGCATCATTCTGTCGGCAGAGCCATGTGATTAGCTTGAGTCATTTCTGGTTGGAGTGTTGCATGTCCTTTTGTTTGTGACAATGGCCCCACTCAGTGCCCGGCATGGCTGCTTTTTCTATCCCAGACCTGCCTCCCCACCTCTGGCTAACACCTTTGTTTTCTCCTTAACAGGTCATTTTTTTACATGGGCTCGGAGACACAGGGTGAGTATTTCTGGAGCACGGGCTCTTGTCTGGCTATAAAGTGATACTCCTGCAGTCCATGGGATTTGAAAAGTGCAGTGTTTGGGGGCAGCACAGAGCAGAGATAAGGCTGATAAGCCTGTTGGATTTATGTTATTTAAGTGTATGGAGATTGCTTCCTTGCTTGTTTGGCTGGGGCGTGGAATTGCTTGTCCCCAGATGGGGAAGGGATGATAAGAGCTTAGCTAGTTCACTGGTGCCTTGATTTTTCTGCGATGTGATCCCGTGACCTGACTGTGGGGATCTCTGGCCAACAGCTGCCTGGCTTTAGCTTTCCTATGGATGGTTTCCAGCGTTCTCACAGCAGTCAGCTCTCCTGTCAGGAGCTTTTTTTTGAAGCCTAGTAAAGTATAATCTCATTTTACATTACCCTGTGGGGGCAGGAGTAAATTCTGTGCCTAGATAGGCAAGTGCTTTATTGTTTATCATGTGAAGAGGACTTAAGGTTACTGAAGACTGCTGCATATGCAGAGCTTCTACCCCTCCCATACCACTAGTGTTACACTGCATGGCAGGTGTGCTCTAGGGCTCTCTGCTGCTTGGCTTTGTGCTGACAGAGTTGAGGGTCATGATGCTCAGGCAGAGGGATTGATGGCATGGCCAGACTCTTCAAAACCTATTGCCAGTGCGCAGAGCAGAATGGATGGGGATCCGTGCCCTGCCCCGAGGGCAGCCAGGGTACTGAGCAGTTTTTTATGTCAATGTGCAGAATGGCTTTTGTTATATGCACCATATGGAGATGGCGTATGACACGGAGTGGGATGTGCCACACATCCCCTCCACATTGGTGTGCATAACAAAATTCAATCTCCACATGGATAGTCTGTGGTGGGGGTGGGCCTGAGGAGTTTCAAGTGTGGGAGGGGACCAGTGTTCCCTGTAAGCTGAGCTCTTGGGTAGCCACCCAGGAGAGATGCAAATGCTGCCCAGCTGATTAGCAGAGCGCCCACAGCCGCCAGCGAGTATTTCTAATTGATGGTGCACATCTGCACATGCCTTGGTGCACAGTTCACATTTATTCCACTCATGGATGGAAAAAGGGAACATTGGAGGGGATTCAAGGTTGGGGGATGAGGGCTCTGGCTGGAGGTGTGGGCTCTGGGATGGGGCTGGGCTTAAAGTGTTTGGGGTGCAGGAGGGGACTCCAGGCTGAGGTCAAGGGGTTTGGAGTGTGGGAGCAGGCTCAGTCAGAAGTTTGGATTGGGCTGTGGGGTCCAGGAGGAAGCTTGCATGGTGGCAGGGACTCGGAGCTAGGGCAGGGGTTTGGGCTGCGGGGCACTTACCTAGGGCAGCTCCTGTTCAGTGTGTGGAGGGAGGGAATAGGTGGCTCTGTACTAACCCGCACTTGCCTATGGGGACAGCTTCCCAGTGCTCACAATGATGTAACTCCAGCCGGGGGAAAGGAACTGCAGTGCACTGGAGATCTCCCCCAGCAGGAAGGGCTGGCTCAGAACTCAAGGGCTTTATGGACTGCAGTCCTGGGCTGAGGGGCAGCCCCCCATTAGCCCTGAGCCTTGGGGTGCAGCCCCTAACGCCCCTTTTTTAATCTGGCCCTGCTGCTGAGGCAGGAGGAGCTCATGTCTCCCCCAGCTGCATGGGGCTTATTAGGTAGCAGCCTGGCCGCACAGCTTAGAGGAAGCCTTGGTACCCAAGTCTGGCTCTGTGGCAGTGACGTGGCTGTGATGGGTGGGGTACTAGTATACGGGAGGTACCTGGCCTCACAGTCTGTCTCCTTTCTCGCATTAGGCACAGCTGGGCTGATGCACTCTCCTCCATCCGACTCCCATACGTGAAATACATCTGCCCTCATGCGTAAGTAGAGTCGCTGCCCCTGTTGGGAGTGCAGGCGAGGGAGATTCTGAAAGGCTGCAGCGGGGGCTTTCTTACCAGGTAGTTGCTGCCCTGAATGGGATTTAGAGTTGGAGCCTGCCCCACTCTGCTGCTCCTGGCAGGGCTAAGTCTTCCTGCTCTGAGCTGGCTGGGACGGGTGGTGCCTTCGCGCAGACCTTGTTCTGCTGAGAAGGGCAGTGCTGGTGGCTGTAAAGTTGTTCCTCTTCTTTGCCCCATCATCTCCTCCCACTTCCCATCATTGCTATGGACTTTCCCCAAGAGCTCGTCTTTCCCACAGTAGTGGTGAAGCTTTCAGGGGTGCTACTGCAGGGTGGGCTGCTGAGTTGGGCGCACACCCACCATACCTTGTGGGATGGATCCAGGCAGCTGCATGCAGACAAGCTCAGGAATAGAATCTGGGACCTTGGGCTGAAAATCACAGGCCTCCCACCTGAGCTGAGGGAGATTTGGTATCGGCTCCCATCCTCTGTAGGCTGCAGTCGCTTGAGGGCAACATGCTCTCTGTACTGGAGTAAGCCTGATGGTGAATGCGGCCGAGGGCGAAGTACACACAGGCCAGTGCCGAAGGAAGGACTGGAGCAGAGCCAGTGCTTGTGAGGTGACATGCCAGAAAGGCATGTGTCCAGTGGTCCCTGTAAACTGAGAGCTTGGGCGGCCGGCCAGGAGAGACTTGTTGCCCAGCTGATGAGCAGAGCGCCCGCAGCCTTCCACGCTCAGTAGCAGGTGTTTCTATTGGCAGCAGCATCGGCACATCCCTCAGTGCACATAACAACATTTATTCCGCATATGAATGGAAACAATTAGAGGGAACACTGCCTGTGTCTCCAGCTCTCTGGTGGGGGGCAGCCAGTTAAGCCAACCTCTGCTCTGCTGGGCACTTGGGAAGGAGGAACAAGGGATTCTAAAACAGTCAAGGAAAATCTCCCTCGCTCTGCAGGCAGCTGGCTCCCATCCCCTCCAAACTCCAAGGACTGTCCCCCAGTCTCTGCTTGGAGGCAGAAAGTTGGCTTCCGGGCAGAACTGTGTAATGAGTGAGATGCTGCTGCCCAGGTCTGACTTCCCTGTCCTGTGGCAGCATTGAGCAGGCAGAAGCACAGGGAGGCCCCTTCTCTGAGCAGGCCATGGTCAGTATAAAGCAAGTAGCGCCTGCCAGGCCCTGCGCGGCCCTAGCGAAGACGCCCCAGCAGCTCCTGTTTTGCTGCCAACACAGATGTGCACTCACCAGTCCCAGTGAGCAGAGACTCTCCGGTCCTGGGCATCCTGCCCCAACGGGATGGGACTGAGCAATTGCTGCCTTGTCACCATCTCCCCAACTCGGCAGCAGCAAAACAAAGCCAAGGGTAGAGCCACTCCCCGAATGGGCTGCTAGGCAACCGCGCACAACATTGCCTGCTGCAGGAGGGATGCTGTGTCATGGGTAACCGTGCCAGTGCTAATGGGGCTGAGAGCCTGAGGCACATGGGGAGAATCGGACAGGAGAGGAGCCCAGCCCGGGCAGGGGGTACTGCATGTGGATGGGAGGGAGAACCAATTGTGCAACCCCAGCAGGGTGATTTCCCAGGGCCACCTGCATTGGGTGGTGGAGGGGGTGAGACCCTGGCAAATGTTGCCCCTCCCTGGTGAAGGCGAATGCCTCCCCCTAGGCAGTGATCCTCTAAGGCAGCGAGCCTCATGGGCTGGATCAAGGCAAGACCCTTCTGCATCCAGCCCAGGGGCTCTGCCTGGTGTGGGGAGGAAGCTGCTCTGGACCAGAGCAGCAGCGCAGAGCAGCTTTGTCTTCTATGCTGGCTTGTAGGCTCCTCCCCTTTGTTCCCATTGGCCAGAATTGATGGGGGTGGAGTCTGCAAGTCAGTGCAGTGCCACCTGTACCCCCTCCCCACTGGAGCTGCATCAGGTAGGCGCCCCAGCCTCTCCCCCTCACACCCAGACCCCTCCTGCACCCTAGTCCGCTAGCCCCTCATCTTTGGCCCCACCCCAGAGCCGAGGGGAGCCTCACACCGTTTACTAGCCCTGGCCCCCAAAAGAGCTAATGTGGCCCTGGGGGGAAGCCCTGAGCTTGCCCCCTTCCCATGGGGCTGTCGTGCGAGGGGAGCCTTGGTGCTCAGAGCTGCATGAGTGAGGTGCCTCCCTTTTCTCTGATTATCACTTGGAGGGCCTTGCCCAGGAGGGGTTTTTCCTCTTGTGTGGCCCCTGACTGATTTTTCTGGAGTCAGTGACCCCGATCAAAAAAAGGTCACCCCCCGCCCCCTCCCCCACCGCTCTAAGGGAATCCAGCTAAACCCTATTCTGCCCCATGAAGGCAGGATGCTCCACAATGGCTTCCTTCACTTCCTGCTGCCTTGCTACAGATTAGCCTCTTGTGCCGCGCTGGAAGCTTGCTGGCTAATGTGCCCTTCCCAGGCAGCCTCTCTTGGCTGGGTCCCTGGGGGGATAGGTCCAGGCTTGCCTTTCCTGGTGAGGATCGGACATAGAGCCTCACTCCACCCCCCAGGTTGCTTCTCTTGTATTTGAATCTCTCTCTCTCTCTGCAGGCCCAGGATCCCTGTAACCCTCAACATGAAGATGGTCATGCCCTCCTGGTCAGTCGATGGGACTGCTGGCGGGGGATCTGTGGGTGGGATCCTGAGCTAGTTGCAGGTGGGATCAGGGTGTCTCTCCAGCCACTCGTGGAGGAGAGGGGTAAGGTAGGAAGGGGGATAGCTGGGGTGACCCCAATGGGAGAGAGTATCTGGCCCCATCGACACTGGCTGAGCGAGGGGCTGAGCTCTCTCGTGTTCCCTCGCAGGTTTGATCTGATGGGGTTGAGTCCAGACGCGCCTGAGGACGAAGCTGGAATCAAGAAAGCAGCTGAAAACAGTAAGCGATGGGCGTGGCCGGTTGGGCTGTGGGCCTTTCCTCAGCCTCAGGCTCGCCCTGTCTACAGCCCTGTTCCACCCCAGCTCCTCATGGCCTCTGGCTCCCAGCCCGGTCTGTCCCCACTTCTGCCTTTGCCTCTGCTCCGCCTGTCTTTCCCCTTGACCATATCTCAGGCTTCCTGTGCCGGTGGCATCCACCCTTTGTGGAGAACACACCTAGGGCCGTGGCCTGTGCAGATCCTGAGCTGACCCATCTCTCTCTGGCTTCTTCCAGTTAAAGCAATTATCGAGCATGAGATCAAGAACGGCATCCCAGCCAAGCGCATCGTCCTCGGGGGCTTCTCGCAGGTAAGCGCCATTGGTACGGGCAGGGGCCAGGGACTCGGGTCCAGCCCTGCTCTCCCATGGGAGCGGCAGCATTGCCTGGCTCCGGCTCCCTGGCTGTGTGTGTGCAGTGTGGCAGCTGGGTGGTCTCCGTGGCTTCCTCTGCAGGGGGGGCCTTCCCCTGGTCCTGCCTCTCGGGAGGTTGGTGCATATGATTATAGGCTGGGGGTAGGCCCCTGACTTGCACTGGGAGGGGGGCTCTTCTCTCTGTGCCAGGCAGCTCCAGCAGCGTCTCCACTGCATGGTGCTGTGCTTGCTGTGTTCCAGGGCGGTGCCCTATCGCTATATACGGCGCTCACCTCCCAGCACCAGCTGGCTGGCATCGTGGCTCTCAGCTGCTGGCTCCCGCTGCACAAGGCCTTCCCTCAGGTACCTGCACGCTACATGTCTCTTGCCAGGGCGCCAGGGGGTTGTGAGGAGATTTGGGAGCGGGTGGTGGATTGCGGAGCAGCAAGCACCCCAATGGGCGGTGACCCTAGCCAGGACACTACTGATTGCTGTCTGCTCCCCAGCCAGGCGCCCTGCCCTGCCTTACCCTAAGCCCTCTCCTTTGTGCTGCAGGCAGCAAGCAATGGTGTGAACAAGGATATCGCCATCCTGCAGTGTCATGGGGAGATGGACCCCATGATCCCTGTCCGCTTTGGAGCCCTCACTGCTGAGAAGCTGAAATCTGTCGTCGCCCCTAGCAAGGTTCAGTTCAGAACCTACCCTGGAGTGATGCACAGCTCCTGCCCGCAGGTCAGTCAGCAGCAGGCGCAGAGGGCTGGGGCTGGGGGCAGAGGCACTGTGCCTGATCGTGCAGGCTACCCCAGAGTCTCCGACCATGGAGCAGCTTGGGTCCACCCTGGACTGCCGTTCCCAGCATGCAGTGCCCCCTTGGGCTGCACTCAGAGGGCTTCTTGGCTCATGGTGCGTCGCAGGCTGGGGTCTGTGCTGTGGGCAGGCTCGTCGCAGGCTGGGCTGCAGTGGCCTCAGCTCACTAGCCTGGGATGAGCATGGTGCCCTTTGCGATGAGCTCTGGGCCCTGATCTTCCCTGGCCTTAGAAGGCAGGAGGGCATCTCAGCTGAGGGCCTGGGGAGGCCTAGAGTTGAATGAACCTGGGGAGCACCAGCCCCTGCTTCTGGTTTGGCTGGCGGCCCTCATTTGGGTTGGGGACTTGTGCTTGGAGCACCCGACTTCAGCACTGTCTGCAATGGGCTGTTGGAAAGCCAGACCCAGGTGCTGCCTGCACTCTACTGGCCTACCCCTGAGGGGCACTGCTCTGCGGTGCCTGTGACCGACTTGCATGGTCTGTGTGCAGGAGATGATGGCGGTGAAGGAATTCATTGAGAAGCTGCTGCCCCGGATTTAAATGGAGCCACTCGGGACTGTCACAGGGAAAGGACACAGGGTCACCACCTCTGATCTTTCCCCCTTCTCCTGTCAGCTGCAAACGGAAGCCATGGCAACCAACCTCAACTCCAGCTGTTTTCCCTTCCTTCAGTCCCACCCTCGCCTGTCTCTTCTGCACCAGGGACCCTCAGCCCAGTGGGGTGCTGCTCCCTGGGGCTCCCTGAGTTGAGTGTGGAGCTGTTTAAGGTACTGCAGAGACTGTCCAGTGTGGCCTTATTTCTTGCTCTTTCCCCTGGAGAGTTTTAAGCCCCTTGATTTTCCTGTATTACATTGGGCTGTGGGGGTGGGCTGCCAAGGCCTCTTGCCTGTTACAGTATTAGCAGAGAGTCCCACTGGGCTCCAGGGGGCTGCTGGCCCACACTCCGCTGGGCGTGAGCGCCTCAGAAAGCTGCCTAGAAGAGCCCGCAGTGGGGAGCAGAGCACATGGCCTGGCAGCAGCTGTGCAGCCCTTTGGTGATAATCAATGGATTCCTTCTGCTGTATCACAATCGGCGCCTGTGTGGGGCCATCTCAGCCCATGGCTGCACCTCATCTCCGCACTGTAGGACCCAGACAAATCACTGCCGTTTACCCCCGCTCCCCCAGTGTTTCCCATGAGCCCTGCCTGGGGCACGGGCCCAGTCACCAGTGTCTCTGGCTGCGCTGGCGCCTTCCTCTCCATCAATGGATTCCTTCTGCTGTATCACAATCGGCGCCTGTGTGGGGCCATCTCAGCCCATGGCTGCACCTCATCTCCGCACTGTAGGACCCAGACAAATCACTGCCGTTTACCCCCGCTCCCCCAGTGTTTCCCATGAGCCCTGCCTGGGGCACGGGCCCAGTCACCAGTGTCTCTGGCTGCGCTGGCGCCTTCCTCTCCCAGCAGGGTGGGTGGGGTGGGAGGGCAGAAGGCGGCTCCAGCTGATGCCCTTGTTCTGGACAAGCTAGTTGCAGGAAGGAGGCTTGGTCCTGGCCTCAGCCTCACACCAGCATTTGCTAGTGCCCAGGCCCACTCAGCTGCTCTCATCAGACCCTTTGTTCAGGCACCTGCTGTAGCACCTTGTCCTGCTCCCCAGGGGGCTGCCAGTCTGTGAGCCCCCGGGGGGGAGGGAGCAGTTGCTGCTACACGCAAGTAACCCCCAGGGCTCTGCACACTTGGCCACATGCTCGAGGCTGCTGGGCAGGGCCGCGTGTCCTTGTGAGCCAGGGGTGGCATTGCCCATGTGAAGCGTCCCCCTCAGGAGGCTGGCTCCTGCCTGCTGGCACAGGACCAGTGGACTGTGGCATCCTATGGCTGGAGTTCCTTGGCAGGCCGCCTGCAGGGCCTTAGAAGAGCCACGGTCTGCTCTGCCCCACCCCGCCCCTTCCAGCACCATGGGCCTCTTTCCTCCTCCCTCCCCCAACTCAGCTGCAGCAGCCCCTAAGGGGCCTGGCAATCAAGCTGTAAATGTTGTTTGAAGAACCCTTTTCTGCTAAGGGCTGAGTTCCTTAGGCCACCTGCAGTTGCTGGTTCCATCAGCTGAGCCCCTCCCCCTCCACTCCATAGCTGGCAAGGCCTTTCTATGGCCAGGGTAAAATCACATTGGGGCTGCCATTGTGCTGGGGGAGGGCGGGGTAGCAGGATGAGAGGCTCTTTCTGAGTGGGACAGAACCATCCCCCTCCCTGCTCTGGAGTCCTAGGGCTGGCCATGTGTGCTCTGTGGTGGGGGGAGGGGGAGGGGGAGGAGACAGGGCTGGCTCCTCACTGGGAGCATTGCTACCTTCCCCTGCAACTGACTCATCCCAGGCTAACGGGACACCCCAGGGACAAGCATGAGGCCTGGTGCCCTTGGCTGGGGTGCAGCTGCAGGCAGGCGCCAAGGGGGCCAGCACTACCCAAAGCAATAATCCTCACTTGACTCAGTTGTGGCTGCTTGCATGGGGCAGGGGTATTACGGGGCCACTAGTGCTGCTCACTGGGGGGACAGTCTGCCTGTTTCTCCACCTTGGGTCTTTTTAAAGCTGCCATCTCCCCAGGCCAAGGCCTGGGCTAGCAGGGAGGGAAAAATGCAGCCTGGCAGCTGCACCACCTCTGTTGGACCCTGCAGTGGAATATTCCGCCTCCTGGCTGGCAGGGCCTGCCCTCCTGTTCGTTCTTTGTATAGTTTGGTTGAAAGTCCAGGGCTGTTCTCACAGCATTCCGCAGAACTGCTCTCTCCCTGTGAGCAGCAACTTCCTTGGGCTGGGGCCCCTGCTGAGGACGGGGGAAGGGGGTGGGCAGAAAGCAGCATTGATCATTCCTCAAAATGGCTTTTAGTTCGGTCTTCCTTGGCGTCTGTGTTGGGGGAGGGTTTGTGTTCCACAGCGGTGGCTGTGAGTAAAGTAAACAAACCTCGCAAGCCCTTGTGTTGGTCTCTTTAATGCACTGGTGCTGCAGCGTGGCGCTAGCTCCTCTCAACGGTAGGAGCAGTTCTGAATCATGCTAACCCCTGAGGCAATCAAATTCTCAACGCATCATTCAGTAGCATCAGTTCGGAGCAGGCGGCGTGAAAACAGCCGGGACCCTGTGGCCCACAGTAATGGGTAGAGCTGCTGTAATAAATAAAACCTTCAGTAGCTAGAAAAACAAACCCCTGCCTCAGGCAGGCTGTGGGGAATCTGACTGTAGCTACCACAGCCACTTGCTGAGGGAGCTGGCAACCTCGAGGCCCGTGGCTAGAGGCCCATCTACAGCCCCAGAGGGCTAGGTAAAGGAGTGCGACTTTCCTGTCACCGGCCCATGCTGTCCTACAAGAGTTACTGACTACACCCAGCCCAACTGCTGTAGAGCTAGCGGGGCCAGACACACCCACACAGTAACAATCTCATTTGGTCCCTAATGGCAAGGATGAGGAACTGAAGCAGGGAGCAAACTGCTCCAGTGGGACAGGCAAGGTGTAAACCTGGCCCATGGAAGACTGAACCGCCCAGGAGTGCAGCTGTTCCCAGCCCTGGGGGGCAGGATGGGCCCAGGGTTACAAAAGTGAAGCCATGGCCCAGCCCTGGAGTAGCTGCAGCAGTTGTGTCCTGCACTCATGAGGTAGTGAGTGGGCCCTTGCCCGTGACCATCTCTGAAAGGAGCAGCAGCCAAGATCCTGGGCACTGAAGGAGCAAGCTTCTTCCCATGGGAGCCCGGCGTGGCTTGGTGGGCTCTGTTCCTTCACAGCAGGATTCCACTGAATAGGCCTGGGAGGTTTAACTGCTCTATGCAGCCCACCGGCTGAGTGTGCATAAGGGCTGCTCAGCTTCCGTCCCCCAGAGTCCAGCTTTCTCCACTGCCCCCTGGCATGAGTGATGTCAGCTCCTGGGTAAAAGGTGGGAAAGTTCAGCTGCCCTGTATGATGCAGGCCAGCCAGCCCCCAGAGAGAAAGCAACTGTCGCTCCCTGGGGGACCCAGACTTGTAGGCCAGCACCAGCCTGGCTGCTCCCCGGGACCAATGCTCTAGTTGTTGCTGAAGCCAGTGGGATTCTGCACCTGCCACCGCCACAAATCTTCACCTGCAAGACAGAGGGAGAAACTCAGGTTGGGGCAGCGGCTGAGGCTAAGCCAGCCGGGGGAGGAGGGCTGGCTGTAACTCCAGGCCCAATGCAACAGGCTGGAACTAAACCGGTTAGTTCCTGAACACTCATTGGTGACTCTGCATCAATCCCTGGGTGCATCTTATCCAGCGTCCCCCAGGGGACAAGGAAGCAGCTTGGGCAAAAGCCAAAGCGGGGGAGTGTGGGGTACACACACACTGAGTGGTATACTGTCCACCCCTACCTCCCTGGGGCGAGTCACAGCAGGGGGCCAGCTGCAGCCCACAGAGAGAGCAGGCCGGGGGTAAGTCAGAATCAGCTTGGAAGGGTTGCACTCACACATCTTATCCAGCCCAAAGGCAGCTTTCCAGCCCAGCTCCTGCTCAGCCAGGCTGGGATCGGCGTAGCAGGCAGCGATGTCCCCCTCCCGCCGTGCAGTGATCTTGTACTTTACCTGAAGGGAAAGCAACACAGCGGGGTGACCCCCAGCCCAGGGACTGGGAGAGGGGACAACTTCAAGGGAAGATCGCAACTGGAAGCACAAAACACAGTCCCTTGGAGCGAACCATCCATCACCGCAGACCTCGAAGAGCAGCTCCCCCAGGCTAGAAGCAGTTGCCCTGGCTGCTGTTTTGCTAGCACCAAGGGGAGAATGATCCCTTGGGCAGAGCTAAAGAGCACAGCCTTTCAAACAGGTGCTCATGCAGGGCCAGGGGCTTGGGATTAGCACCGCACCTCTCTTCCCGACACCTTCTCCATGGCTTTGACCATTTGCAGGACAGAGTAGCCAGTGCCTGTACCCAGGTTGTAGATCTACAAGTAGAACAAAAAACCTGTCTGGTTCTCGCTCCAGGGTCTGTGCCCGAGTAGCCCCTCCCCCGGCTCCCAGCCTTCAGCTCAGCTAAAACAGTGTTTCTCAGCCAGTGATACAAGTACCCTCAGGGGTACTCGAGAAAAGTCCGGGGGGACTTCAGCACAGTGAAAGGTGGAGAAAACTGCATGTGTTTTACAGCACTATTATTTTTGTACTTTTTACGCCCAAAAATTTCATCGCCCGCCCAGCTACGATTAAGTTGTTTAAACAAGTGTGTTGCAATGGTATTAAAAAAAAATGTGTGTGTCTGTAGGTACAGGGGGTACTTTTTTTTTTTTTTTTTTTGAAAGAGGGATACTTTATAAAAAAAAAAGGTTGAGAAACACTGAGCTAAAGCTTCAGCCACCCCTCGAACTTCCAGGTGCTCATCTTGAGACCATGGGGCCTGATTTCTGATGAGCTGAGCAGTTGCAGCGTCTGAAAGTTGGGGCCCAGCTGGCTCAAGGTGGGCTCCCAAACACCTGGGCCACATGTGAAAGCTGAGCCCTGTCAACCCCCCCCCAGATTCCTAACACTTGATTCACCAACTATCTGTCAACCAGCTTATATTTGACAGAAGATAGTTACTTCTTATTGCCCAATAGAGGGAGCAGGGCAAACTGCCTTTGCCTATATAATTACAGGGCCTGAGAGTTGGGGCCGCCCTTACAAATTGCAGGGCCTAGGGAGGGCGGGGGACACCCTACGCAACCAAGGGCCCCTTCACTGTGCAGCTTTTGCTGAGGGCCTGGGGCTCTCTACCCCTCATGTAACTTCTAGTGCGGCTTAGGGGCTTCCTTGTACCGGAAGCAGAGCTGCAGAGGCTGAGAACTCCTATCCACAGCTCAGTCCCTGCTGAGCCATCATTAAAGTCAGCTGCAGCTGGCAGAGAGGAACAGGCGGAGGAAGGGAGAGAGAGCAGCCCTGGGGAGGGGCCAGGGAGGAACCAGCAGAGGAATACAAGGATACATGGCTGCGCAGGGGCACCCTAAAATTTGGTGCCCTTCAGCAGCTGCATATTTTGCCTAAGGGCAGCCCTGTTGGGGGTGTATATACTTCCCCTTTAGCAACAGCCTCTACTTTGGGATGGGGGTTCAGGTCAAAGGAGCTAGTTCAGCTGTGCCCATGATAATGTTGGAGAAGCTCAGCTCTGCTAATTCCCAACACCCCGATTAAAGCCAGTTGCTACCTTGCAGCCACAATTTTCCTTCAGTTTCTTCAAAGCAGCAATGTGACCTTTGGCTAGATCCACAACATGGATATAATCCCGGACACCTGCAGGAAACAGGAAACGATGCAAACCGTGTCAGTGATGGTGCAGCCCATCACTCATTTAACAGGCTGCATCTACCGTAACTACTCTGCTTAAGATAAGCCGGAAACACTGAGCAGCACACCTGTTCCATCGGCCGTCTTATAATCATCCCCAAACACGCTCAGGTGCTCCCGGCGCCCCACTGCTACCTGCACAAAGGAACAGGCTCGTGAGATACACAACGGCAACACGGACGGAGGCTCACACACACAGCACTGTTTACAGGCAGCCTGCCAGGAGGGGTCCTACTTGAGCAACGTAGGGCATCAGGTTGTTGGGGATTCCTTGGGGATCTTCTCCGATTCTTCCTGACTCATGGGCTCCAATGGGATTGAAATAGCGGAGGAGAACAGCATTCCAACCCTGGGAGAGAGACCGCGCCAGTCAGACACGCTGCCTAGGAAGTGCAGATAGGGCCCCGGGAATCGTAACTCCCCTCTTCCCCCACCCAACGGGCACCAGATGTGTGAGCACTGCCCGGCCCACCTAAATCTCAAAACCTGCGAGAGTTCTAGTAGGAAACAGAAGGCCCAGATTTCCTAGTCCCCAGGGAGAGCCTGGAGGTGGGAAATGGGTCACCCCATGAAGAATTCACCCTCCCGTGCAGTTTGCTCCCCACAGAAGAAGGAAGGGCCCTGGACTCTAAACTTCACAGATCCCAATTCTTGTGGGTTCCACATTAGGGGGCCAGCGAGTGTGTGCCCCTGATCTCCCCTAACTGCTTCGCCCTAGTGGAGCTGGGGTTTTGGAGGGCTTTCTGCAGCGCTGCAGGAGTGACTGATCCCCTTCCCCATGGGCTAGAGGAGATCTGTGAATGGAAGGATCCATGAGGCCTTGAATTCTGGGGAAACACTTGGGACTTAGGTGTTCCCAGTCCCCCTGGTTCAAGGGCATGCACAGGGCCGAGTGGATGCTTCTTACCTTCTCGGCCTTGCACAGATCTCGTATCATCTCCTCAATGAAGTACTTGGATTTGCCGTAGGGGTTGGTGCAGCCCCCAACCGGGTGGTTCTCATCCAGCGGGAGGTAAGCAGGGTCTCCGTACACTGTGGCTGAGCTGCTGAATACGATGTTCCTCACCCCATGTGCTTTCATTGTCTGAGAGGGGAAGGCAAGGACCAGTTCAGTGGAGCCCCAGGGAAACACCAGGAAGCAATATGCACAAGCCAGCTAGTATTAATTAGCCCGCATCTGTAATGTGTAGCCAACCTCTATGAGGCCCATGCCACCTACCACTGAAACGCAGCCACCTCTGGGGTCTAACAGGGCCCACCAATACTGCAGACATGAGGAATGTCATTGCCAGATCAAACAACTGAGGAAATGTAGGGAGGCTGAACAGAACTTCAAAGGACACTAAAGCTAACACCCCGACTCTGACCAAATGAAGTAGGGGTGCTCCCCAGAACCTCAACCAGAACCTCAAGGCACAGTGCCCCCTAGGGCCCCGCTGGGGTCAGGTCTCACTCAGAAGAGCCCTCTACTGGCTCACTTGCCCCTTGGTAGTGCTTAGGCTTTCCTGAGAAACCACCTTCCCAGCACCGCTGACCGCAGCAAGCCAAGGCCACAGCCTGGAGAAGAATATTAGTTTGACTGTCAACAGGGGGATGAGATCCCGAGGTTTCTCTCCAGGCAGCCAAAGAGTCTTTCCCAGCTCTCTGTTGCTCAGCCTGCAGAGTAATTTGCCTTTTTCTTCTGCTCTTCTGTATGCAGCCAATACCCCCTTGTTGTAATTCTGTAGGGGAATTAGTCTGCACGAGCCTCTACTGGGCTGACAGTCTGAGTAATGGAGGACCCAGGACTACCTCCACAGCTCGCTTTACTCCCTGGATCTTCCCTCCCCAGGATGATTTAGTACAGCACACAGAGCCCCTGGGGAGATCCCAGGGAGCTCTACCTGCATCCTCAATCCCCTTCAATGTTTAACTGGAGTTTGCCTTTTAGGAGGGAGACAAACCAAACCTATTTGTCCTCAGCCTCACGGGTCTTCTAGCCCTTTGCACTGGGGAAGTTCTGGGTTCTCCTGTGCCCTTTTGCAAGAGGTCTGCTTACCTCCAGCAGCCGAATGGTCCCCATAAGGTTCACCTTGTAATACATCAAAGGCTTCTCAACAGACTCCCCAACAGCCTTCAGCCCTGCAAAATGCACCACAGCCGAAAAATGGTGCTGCAAAGAAAGAAAAGAGGTCAAGTGCCAATGCTGGGCTGGGAAAGAACTTGGGTTAATGATACCAGCAAAAAGCCACCGGAACTGCTTGAAACCCCCCCCCCTCCCCCAACAGAAACTTGGGTTTTCAACTAAACAAAATGTTTCTACAAAAAGTGTCTGCTAGCCACAGAAAAATTCAACTTTAGGTCAAACCCCCAACACCTGAAAACCTCCATAATTTGATTCAGAAATACCACCATGCTGGCTCCTACGAGTTGTGGTTTCAAGTGCCTCATGCTGCCAGACATTGTCCTCTATGGGTTATGTTTCCCCAACAGTCTACATCTCCCAAGGTGCACTGTGGCAAGTCAGCAAGAAGGGAGACTGTGGTGCATCCTGGGAGGTTCATGCACCCAGGACATCCAGCCCAGAGAACAGGGCCATGAAACATCCAAACTGCCAGGAGGCCCTGCTGTGACCGTTCCAAAGCTACATTTTTGGTTGGCATCCTACTTCTGGCTGGAACTTTGCAGTTTTTTATTTTGTTGCCAAAAATGTTGAAGTTTTCCATGAAATGGGGGAAAAAAGACCATTTCCTGACTAGCTCTATAGCCTTCCTGTGCCCTGTGGAATCGCTTGTCTTGCTGCTCCCAGTCCAGTTACACCACCCTGCATCCTTAGCACTTGCTCCAAAGAGCGCCTTGCACAGCAGGAAATGTGTATCCGCCCCTCCCCTTCCCTTCCCCAGCAGCATGGCTGCTAGCTCCTGTGCTCACCTTCTGAAAGAGGGTCTGCAGGGCCACCTCATCAAGGATATCCAACTCCTGGAAAAGAATCTTCTTGCCCACAATCTCCTGCACGCGCTGCAAGCTTTCGGGAAGAGCATCTCCCCCTGGGGAGACAGGTCATTCTGTAATGCTACCAGAGATCAGGCCTGGACCATGGGCACACAAGTGCAACGGAGAGCCATTGGGGCTCCAAGGTGACAGACAGTCTTGGGGGCAGCAGCTCTCCTTACCTCGGATGGCATTGTGGAAGTTGTCAATCACCACAGGGATGTAGCCGGCTTCCACCAGCTCCAGCACACAGTGACTGCCAATGTACCCAGCCCCACCTGTCACAAGGATCTTCTCTGCCATCCTCACCTGAGATGGGATGGAAAAACCCAATGAGTGGGGTCACAAATGGAGAGACTGGAGTTACAGGGGCACCCTGGGGTCCAGCCACTGCAGTGGTGGAAATGATTAGACAGAGCCAGCACAGGGATAGCAGAGGGTAACTCCCTAACCCAGGCAACTCAGCATCTAAATACCTCTAAAAATCTGGCCCTTAATGCTTCTCCGATGCCTTGAATCATGAGGGTTTACCTCCGATCCTCTGTAACGGCCATCCAAAGAACAGATCTTGGGGTGTCTGATATCTACTGGCAATGAGTCCTACAGGTTAATTCCACATTACATACACATTCATTCAGGTTTAACTGTGGTGCCTCACAGTTTAACTGATGATTCTCTCATTCCGATGAGGAAGGGTAAGTAGGAAGACCCGATCCACCTTCTCACACCCATTCATTTTTTAATATTCTTCCATAACATCTGCTCTTGTTTGTGCCCTCTCTCAAAACTTAAGCACTCCTAATCTTTTGTCTCTGTTTCCATGAACTGAGCATTTCCATCACCCATCCCCAGGTAGGGTCGCCAGGTGTCCGGTTTTGAACCAGACAGTCTGGTATTTGAGCTTTCTGTCCAGGAAACGAATTGAGAAAATACCAGATATAGAAATGTCGGGTATTTTCTAATTAAGTTTATTATTATCATCATCATGAGTATCAGTACGTAGTTGCGTACTACCTGGCTGGTAGACACGCTCACACACACTGAATGTGTCTACCAGCCAGTCAGTACGCAACTACGCAGTAGAGAGGAGGGGGCGGGGCCGGGACAGGATGGAATCCCCAGAGCCAGAGTCGCCCATGCGCCCTGCTGGGACCGTACGTGGGATGGGCAGCACCCTGGGATCTGCGTGCACCCAGGCTAGCTGGCCGGTTCCCCCTCTGCCACTCCCTCCCAGCCAGCCCTGCTCCCTGGCAGCTGGTTCCCCCCTGGCCAGCCCCGCTCCCCGCAACCTCCTCCCGGCCAGCCCTGCTTCCCACTGGCCGATTCCCCCTCCCCTCCATCTGAGACCAAATGTGTCCAGTATTTTTTTAAAACCATCTGGTAACCCTATCCCCAGGCCCCTTTTGATTTCTGTTGTAGCCTACGTGGGAAAGGGTGTGTGAGGGAGAAGGGTTAAGCAGGGCCAGATTAAAGGGGCTTTAGGGGCTGCAGGCTCAGGCCAAAGGGATCTACCTCAGCTACAGCCACTCGAGCCCCTGAGTGCTGAAATCTGCCTGGCAGGGGAGGGGAGCTCTGCACACTGCCCCGCCCTCAGCCAGGTGCAGCTGCATGTGTCATAGCTAGCAGAGCTCACCTGCAGTCTCTGCCTGCGCTGCTCCCATTGGCCAGGAGCTCCAGTCAATGGAAGCAGCAGCGGGTGGTGCCTGCAAGCTCAGGGCCACACAAAGCCACTTGTTACCCCCAAGGAGCGGCACCAGGTAAGTGCCCAATTCCCTCCCCTGCACAGTACGCCCCTCATTTTTGACCCACCTTGGATCTTAGGGGGCCCCCCTGAAGAGTTAATGCACCCAGGATTTAAGAGAGGTCAGCATCTCCAAAGCAATGCTCACTAGTTACCCCCGTGAAGAACGGATCATTTGTTTTGCAGACAGAGACCCAGAGAGGAACCAACTTCCCCTCAAGGGTCATAGCAGTCAGGGATTAGAGCTCATGGGCTCCTAGCTCACCCATCCTACACTCAGACCATAAGCCCATACTGCCTCACATGAGCACAGGGCTCACTGGGAGGTTCTTTATGCCTACCTGAGCTTAGTCACCTGCTTCACATCACATCCAGCAGCCAACAAGGGTGTCACAAAGGGAGGATTAGAACTTAAGACAAAACAGATGAGCTCTGAGAAATAAAGCTCTCTTTGCCACCAAGCAGACCCTGCTGCAAATGCAGGATTGGCCCCTGACAGACTCCAACTCCAGAAGGGGGAGAAAAGCAGCATAAGTCTAAACCCAGGTTAAGCCCACCCCAAAATGGAAAAAGTAGAAATGGTGGGACTACAGCAAGCCACCTGCATATCTAGCCAATGTAACAGGCAAGTCCAGCCCCTTTCATTGCAAAGGAGAGCCCTGCCTTACAAGAGGAGCAGGACCCAGCTGAGGGTCCTCAGCCTGATCAGGAGAAGAGGCTCTTTCCTTCAGGGCAGCTGAGAAGCAGCCAGCTAGGATGGTTGAGGAAGGAGGCTACAATCAAATCACTTTCTCTCTCTCTAGTGGCGAGTAGGTTCTGCAGAGCACTCTCCAGGGCGTAGCTTATCTAAGCAGTCTTGCTTAGAGTCAGAGGTTACCTTCCACGTTTGGGAAAAGAGTCCCAGTCCTTCAGATACTCCCCACTTGGTCCCTGCAGGAAAAGAGGCTCTAGAGAGCCAGGGACGGGAAGGTTTCTGACCAGCCACGAATGACTCACTCACTCTTCTGCCCATGAATAAACATGATCCACCCTCTTCTGTCCATGAATAAACATTAGCTGCTTGAGGGCACTGTCTAGCCAAGCCAGCAAGAAATGCATGTCCAACCCTGCCTCAACACAGGCCCCTTTGAAGCACCAGGAGTTTAGTGCTAAACACCGCGAAGCCAAACTGGCACAGCCTACCCACTTAATTCCTCCTGGTCAAGGAGGCTTCTGTCCTGCTGCTCTCAAGGGAGCAGGAAAGACCTGAGCAGAAAGTGATGCAAGGGGCTCCTTCTTCAATGGACTCTCTTTCGGGCTGGACAGTGTGAGGCCTCATACAGACTGATTTAGTAAAAGCGGGCTGGGTTAAAGCCAGGACATACTGCAAGGTCTGGTCTGGCCTGGCCTTCCCCTCCCAGCAGGCCTCTAAGAGCACTGTACAATCAGCTATGACCAGAGGCCTCCTAGCAGAGGAATGTAGCTGCAGAACCTGCCCCTCATTCAGGTGTAAAGCAGCCACACTGGCAATTCCAGCTTTGCATAATACAGGTTAGATCTCTGCTGTCTGTTCTCCCTTCTAGGGCAGATTCCATTCTCCCTCTTTTCAGATAACATTTAACTACACAGATAAAGGCTCAGCACGCACCTAGGCACAATATCACCACCACCACATTCACAGATTTTGCACCAGTTCCAGGGTTACTAGTGTCACTTGCTTTATTAGGTTGGACAGTCCCTTGGTAGAAGGCTGAACATCCAATGAGAGGGCCAGCTAGTCCTCAAAGCTCTCCCCTTTGCCCTGTTCATCTTATGTGCATTTAAATACGCTTGAAGTAAATCCAGGCACCAGCCTTCAGACTATGAGCTGGAACCTGGCAGTTATTGAAATCTGGAGTTATCTGCTGCTGTGCAAAGTTCTTGTTTATTGAGAATCTCTCTAAGGGACCCACAGAAACTTAAGGCATCACTATCTGTATGCTGGGCTGGTTCAAAACAAGGACTGGAACCTTGGGGCTGACACATCTAGGACACAGAAAAAAAATCAAACTGAAGGTCTGAAATATGAGCTCAGCATCCGCTTTCAATGGGCGCGGCTGCTGGGAGGAAGGGGGTACAGCAAATCTCCAGCTGCCAGGTAAACTATTCTCCACCTACTGCAAACTGCTCCAGGAAAGAGGAAATGAATAAAAGAGTAACAAAGGAGCCTGAACACTGCAATCCGCTGCACGGAGAAGACAGGCATTTGTATAATACACTAAGGGGAAGGAATAAAAAGAAACCCCAAACTTGTAAACCAAGTCTTCAGATTGCATAACCTAAATTGACTATGCTGCCCAGGGATTAGGGATTCCCCGCTCTGTCACTGACTCACTGTGGGAATTAGACAAGTCAGCTAACTTCTCTTTCTTCTGTTCCCCCATATATTAAATGGGATAATGAATGGTACCTACCTCATGGGTGTCATGAAGCTTAACGTTAAAGTTTGTAAAGAACCTGAAGTTTAGAATGGCACGAAGGATTATTTCAGTGTGCTCCTGTCTGTTTTTCTCTCTGGCCCGACTCCCTGGCATGCTATTTGATTGTCTTCTTGGTTTACATTTTCCAGACTGTCCAAGTTCCCACATTCCAGCTGACCTCCCACTGAAGAGCTACAAGAGGCCCCTTTGCTTCCTCATGGGTGAATCTGATGGCAGTTGGCCCTGCTTACTCCTTGGGTCTAACTTCATTTTAGCCCCAGATCTAGCTGGGAGCGACAATGCCCCTATTAATATCTGGTTTCATTTCTCACAAGGTCTGGCTCCCTTGCATGCCCCCCAGTCCATAAAAGCACTGAGGAGGGTCTGAAGCATGTTCCCAGCCCATTTCCTTATGCGAAAGGCGGTTGCCCACTAAGCTTTGCTCGGAGACTGAGTGGGGAGCTACTGCTCCCCAAGGCGGGCAAGAGCCTCCCATGGCCACATCCCCCAGCTCAGGTAGGCTCAAGGGGCTTGCTGTCCAGGGGCACAGGGTCCACGTGCCAGGCAGCTGAGCTGCTCTGGGCTGGGCAGAAGGGCCAGGGCCGGAGATGTGGTGGGAATGCCCGGGACACAGGCAGGGCGGGACCAGTTTGTCCGGGAGTCTTGTCTGCCCTTCAGGGACGCCCCGAGCACAGAGCCTGCCCGGAAAGGGTCCGGTTGCCTGACACATGGGCCGTGCACCCCTGGACCCCCGTTCTCTCCCACAGGGGTGTGCGCTACGGGGGGGGGCTT